TAAAGAGCCAGCGCATCCAGTCAGGCATGTGCCACCTTGGCCCCGCCTCACTCCTGACCAACGCTGTTGACACATGTGGCCTGCTCCCCTCCCTGGGTGCTTCCCAGCATGCGAGCCGCGTTGCCATCATGCTCTCCAAGCAGAGCCTTCCAAGAACCGACACGGAGGAGGCCCCCTTTTCCCGGAACCCTAACGCAAACTGCCCTTCTAAGTAGGGAAAGTGGGGGTGGGGGTCCAAGTTCAAGGAACTCCCTGTGGGCGAAGCCCCAGCAGCCGAGCTTCTCACAGGTGATGCCTCTAGTCTGGAAATTCTGCTCCTCTCTTTGCTGCCATGTAAAGAATTACATTAAGAGCCGAACTAAAAGAGCAGCCAGAACGGCCATTAAGAAGAGTAAGTGAATAAATCACAGCAGCTGGAGAAGAAATGTAAAGACCTCACAGGTCACTGGGTAGATACAATTGATTATTGTTAAATAATCATCAAATGCCAGGTGTGAAACCAAAGGTCAGAATATCCCTCCTGGACCCGTGGAAAATGAGGTTGTCAGAGGTAGATTAGTCCTTTTTAAAAGTCATGTAAGTGGGCTGACGGTATTTGAGCCTAATCTCAGCACAGACGGTGGCAGGTTTCAGGGACCCCGTGGAGGAGAAAAGCCCGAGTGAAGGGGCCTCAGAGGGGCTGTCTTTCTGCTGGGAATGTTTTAAGTCCAAAAGGTGATTGATTATAGTGCTGCGTATCCTGCATGAGTTGATTGGATAGAACAGCTAAAATCGAGATGCTGGTGAAGACCATCAGAATTCTGATCCCTGTTGAGAAAATGAAATTAGACTCCATTTAGACCACATTTGGCCTAATGATATTCAGTACCTCCCAGTGCCAAAAGATATTCCAAATGAACATTAATTGCAGAGAGAGATTAGATATCAGGGCGAATCTGGTGATAATCTGGAGAGCAAAGTGCCAGAAGCTTCTAACAGAGGGACCGTTTAAGTTTCCGTTCCGGACGCTCTTTATGGAGTCAATAAACACTCTTAAACCTGACACCAGTTCAGATTCTGCCTAATGGGGCCTCCTTATCCCGGTCGTTTGTAATTGAGGGAGGCCTCAGAAATACGTGAGGAGGTTGCGGTGACTATATCCACTTACGTCCAGGGCCGGGTTTCCTAATCTTGGCACTGTTAATATTTGGAACCAGATAATTCTTTGCTGCGGGGGTGCTTTCCTGAGCATTGTAGGATGTTGAACAGCACCCCTGGCCTCTACCCACTAGATGCCAGCAATGTCCTTGCCCCCCTTCCGTGACCTCCCAGTTGTGACAAACAAAAATGTTTCCAGACTTGGCCAAATGTCGTCCTCCCCCGCCCAACACTGGGGTGGGGGGGGCAGAAATCCCCCTCTGCCCCATTGAGAACCGCTGCTCTAGGTTGACCACCATTCCAGTTTGCACAGGACTGAGGAATTGTAGCATGGAGGGACTTTGAGTGCTGCAAGCAGGACAGTCTCACGGAGGCTGGGACCAGGTGGACCCCCAGCTGTGTCATCGACGTGTTCTATATCATACTAAAGTTTAAAAGGGAAAACCAAATGTCTTGAAACCTCTGTCTTCGGGGATATTGACAAAGGCGTTTGGGAAACCGTATCATTCCACGTCAGCACGTTTTCCGATTCTGTAAAGGCTTCAGAGTTTTGACCGCCTTTTCCCTCAGGGTCGCTAAAGCCTGAGCGGCAGTGACGGGAGCTGTTGGAAGGTCTGGTCCCGGCCAGTGGACCAAGAGTACATGATTCCAACCGTGCCGCCATTCTGGAAGAGAGACTCTTGTCTGACAGCTGGTAGTGAGTTTGAGTGACAGACTTCTCCTTAGAATTGTAGGCTGTGTGACAGTATACATCATGGAAGTGACAGCAGTGGGGACTAATTTAATTCCATTTTCCTTTGCAGCCCTGATAAATCATTGCCACAGGGAAAAATAAATTTTACTTCCTCAGACAAAAACGATTTGAATAATGATGTGCTCTGGGCAGAGTGGGGGCTGAGAGAAGGTCTGTTAATGGGCTTAAATCGGGTCATGGAACTTGTTGCTGTCGCCTCCTGCACCTGGTGTGGTGGCTGGCTTATACTAGGAGGGTCTCCTTCCCGGAATCCTCAGAAGAGTCCCGTAAGATGATACCAGCCATCTTGGCTGAATGTTGTGGGTTTTTTTAGGGCATCTCTTTGGAAAAGGTGATTGATTATGGCGCTGCGTATCCTGCAGGACTTGGTGGATGAGACACGTAAAAAAGGAGATTCTAGAGGCTGGGGTCCTGACCACAGACAATAGGAAAAAAAGTCTCAACATGAATGGAAAATTGCCACTGTTTTTCATCCTCCTTCCAGAAAATGCTTGTTGCTTAGGAATGTGGTTTTGCTGGGAGGCTTTTTAAGTGATAAAGGGAGTGATTTATGGAGGAAGGGGGCTTGGGCCCCAGAGCGCTATGCATGAGGAGCCTAATGCATCTGGGGAGGGGGTGCAGTGGAGGTAGAACCCCTCCCCTAACGTGGACAGTGGGGAACGGGTCCTGATGCCTGTAGGGAGACATACACACATTTGTCTAAGCTAAAGAATGCCGAGCTTTCTTTGGGGGGAGATTCTACAGTTCTGGTTCAGTCCGCTAAGAGCACAAGGAAACCACTTGCCCTGTGAGTAGAAGCCACGTCTTCCTACACCACCCACCGCCAGACATCGCCCTGGGCTGGGGGGCAAAAAGGAGGGAGCCCAGGGGAAGATGCGTTCCTGCCCGCTTCCCGCAAGCAAGCCCAACACGATTTTCCCACTCTAGACGTCAACCCTGGTTGCTCTCCAACTCCAGCAACCGAAGGAATAAATCAAAGGTAAAAGCTATAAAACCCCCCACCAGGAAGCAGTCCCTTCCTTTCGAGCGGTGTGAACGTCAGGTAAATGAGCAGTTGCCACCGAGATGATTTTCTAGGAGTGAGAGGTTCTGCATTAGAGCCCTGAGAATTGTGCTGTGGGTTATAAAACGGCTCCCTGCTCGCGCCGCCCAGCCCGCCCAAGAGCCGTGGCCTCGTCTGACACTCACCCAGCTTCAGGGGAGCTTTGAGTCCCCATTTGATTTAACCCTGATAAACGGCCCAGAGCTTTGGGTTAGGTCCGGCCAGCCATTGGAAGTACAGATTTGTCTTCTTAAAAGCAGGTCCTGGGCACTGTCAGATATCAGAGAAACAATTTGAGAAGATGTGCAAGATGCACGGTATTTTTCTGGCTCTGGTTGTCATTTAAGCTCCCTGTCCAAGAGGGGTTGGGGATTTGGGGGTTCTAGTCGCTCCATGTCCCCGGTTCCTAGTTCTGTCGGCTTGGAACTCAGAAGTGCTCCGTGATGTGCTTTATTACCGACAGGCTGCCTTCAGGAGCTGAGTCTGCGTCATCTGAGGGTCTGGAGTACTGCTAGGCCTTGGAAGCCCAGACACTTCGCTGTAGGCACCAGAAGAGGAAAGAACTACAATAGTAGCCTCTGGAAAGACACAACCCGCCCCGGGCATAGTGCTGGGGGGGTGGGGAGACATAAAATCATGCAGGCATATTTAAGAAATATATGATCCTATATATTTAAATGTAATAGGGAATTCTCTGGGCGTGTACTACGCTGTAGAGTTGGCCCCTGAAGGAAAACAAAACAAAACAAAACTTCAGTTAGTCTTTGGTTTACAAAAGGTCTTGAGACCTGTGCCCCCCGGGTTTTCTTTGTTTTAAGAATTTGTTTTCTGCGACTGGCTGACTGGCTGCCCAGGTTCCTGCTCCTGTCTTATTCTCCAGCGGCTGCCCCAACAAATCCTCCCGAGCTGGGAGGCTTAAGACCACACAGATGTGTCCTCTCTCAGTCCTGGAGGCCAGACGTCTGAAATCAAGGTGTCGGCGATGTTGGCTCCTTGCAGGGGCTTGGACCGGCTTCTCCCTCACAGCATCCTTGGCTGCGTCCTTGCAGTGTCTGCCTCTGTCTTCGCGTGCCGCCCCCCCCCACCCCGTCCCTGTCTCCAGATCTCCCTCTCCTCTCTCTCTCAGGAGGACACCAGCCCCTGGAGTGAGGGCCTGCACCCTAAATCCAAGGGGATTCCACCCTGAGGTCCTTAATTACATCCTCACAAGTCCTGCTGTTCAAATAAGGGTAAATTCGCAGGTGCCGGGGGTTAGGACAGGGATAGATCTTTGGCAAGGGACACAAGTCAACGGACTGCAGTCATCGAGGGGCTATATTTTGTTATTCTTCACATCTCTACAGTTGTGACTGTGTGCTGCTTTAGTTCATTTTTAAAACCTCACTCTTGGGGTGCCTGGGTGGCTCAGTCGTTAAGCGTCTGCCTTCAGCTTGGTCATGATCCCGGGGTCCTGGGATCGAGCCCTGCATCGGGCTCCCTGCTCGGCGGGAAGCCTGCTTCTCCCTCTCTCACTCCCCCTGCTTGTGTTCTTTCTCTCGCTTTGTCTCTTTCTGTCATATAAATAAATAAAATCTAAAAAAAATAAAACCTCACTCTTGCGGATTGTTAAGCTGACGCTCTACCATTTGCCTCTGTCCCCTTCCGTACTGGGGCTTAAACATTGCGTCCTATCACTTCTGCCGTGTGACTCCTAGGAGACCAAGGCCAGGCTGGCCAAACCCTCCCAACAGGGCACCTGCCAGGCACTGAAATCTCATGTCCATGTAAATCAAATCAAAGAGGAGAGGCTAACAATCCTATGAACCGCCACCCCCACCCCCCCGCCACCAGGCTGTCGTCACTTGCCTTCCGACATTTTAAGAGCGTATGAATAATGCACAGAGAATGGTGAACTCTGGCAAAGACCAGAGGGGTGGGGAAGGGATGACTTGTGGAGAGAAGGACTGCCTAGGAGAGCCTCCGCTTTCTCTAGCAGTTTATCCAGGAAGGTGTGGGCAGCACGTGAGGCTCTGGGCAGACTCTTTCTAATGGTCTTTTTTTTTTTTTTTTTTCCCTCTTTCCTCTTAGCAAACTGCCTAGCTGGGCTAGAGCTGTGGTTCCCAAAATCTTTTATGTTACAGAAAAGGCTTGGAACTATTATCCCTACACAATTACAGGTAAGTCCTGTTTATAACTCGTATGTCACATGTAGCAATAGGACCTAGTGGTAGCCAGATTTCACTGATTTATTATCCAAGCAGGGACTTGGGAGAGCCCTGTAGTGTCTGCCCGTCACCCTTTGCCTTCATCCTTTTAGGTCAGTGCTCTTCCTACCAGGTAGGAATTAAGATAAACCATCCCATCTTCTTTTTTAAAATGATTGTAGTAAATAGCTTATGGAGAAGGAAGGTGAAACTCTTTTTAGTGATATGTCAAACAAGTTGTTTATTTTTATTTACTTTACAGCCCCTCCCCTGAAGAGCCCCACTCCCCACCCCCAAACCCCAAAATTATTAACTGTAATTTATGTAAAAGGTTCTATTGGGTCTCTCTGCCCCGAACTACTTCCTTTGCAGTGGGATAATATGATAATTTTAAGCTCACCTTCCCTCTCACGTGTAATAAACTCTGTGCTGATACTGATCTAGAAACTGTGGCCCCCAAATCTGGAAGGTTTGGTTCTTGCCCTCAAACATGAAAACTCGAGATCCCACTTGAATGTCATCATAACAAGCTCTTCTTATTGGTTATAAAAGCTGCTTTTCCACTTAAAAGGTTTCCTTTGTAGTTAATGAAATGCTCCACTGGAATTATTAGTGTTTAATTCTGCCTTTATAATGCCAACTCTTTGGTTTTTAATTAGCCACAAACCTATAGGCTAATTGAATCTTGTCTATAGTCCTTATCTGCCCAACCACAAAAGTATCAGCTGAAAGGGTTTCAAGAGCAAATACGGAAATATTTATGAAAGTTCAATTTTTGGAATGTTTCTTTAACATATTATTAATATAATTCACCAGTATTTGTTAGTTCTGCGGTTTTATATTGCATATAAGCCTGGTCTAAATCATCATTTTGTCTCTTTTTTTTTTCTCTCTTGTCCAAATGAACATCTGGGACCAGAATACACAGTAAGTTTCATTTAATCATTTTTAAATATTCAGCTTAAGATCAGTGGAGTAATTAGAACTTCCCGGGTACTTCTCATCTTATCCATGTAATAAAAAAATAGAGGAATAATTCAGAATCAGAAATATTTAAATGTAGGCTATTACGTAGTTATATATAATGCACTCACTGGCATGTTCTCATTTGTTCAAGAATATGAATGTTAATTTAAAATGCCTTGATAATCACTTTACATAATTAACTTTTGCTTGTATTTTTAAATAGCTTGACTGCTCTACTTGTGATAGTTCACTGTAATAGAACAGTTTCTAGAAACATGGTTTTATTAGAGTGATGATAGTAGCTACTGATGGAAGGCAGGGCTTATACCTACAAGATGTGACCTGATCACTTATCAGAAGACCTTGTAACTAGAAAGACGTTCATTCAGATTAAAAAAAAAATTTTTTTTTTTAATTTAAGTAATCTCTACACCCAGTGTGGGGCTCAAATTCACAAGCCCAGGATTAAGAGTTGCATGGTGTATTGATGGGGCCAGCCAAACGCCCCTCATTGAGATTATTTTCCTCTGAGCTCTGGATTGGACAGTCTTGGTGACTTGATAAAAATCATTTAATTTCTTCCTATCCTAAGGCCTCTAGAGTCAATACTTAACACTTAAAAAAGGGACCCTAGAGTATCATTGCATTGTGGTATTTTCGTGTGGATTATTTTCCTCAACAGCCAACAGGTCAAGTTGTCATAACAAGACAATGGTTAACTGAGTTGTAACAGGAGTTGAGTGTTTGGTCTTAATCAAAACAGCCAAAGGGAAGAGAGGTGGTGAGAGAGAAATGGGAGAAAGTGATTCTTGTTGTGTCCTTGGCGTGAGTCTGGTACCCTGCACATAGTGGGTGCTCAAGAAAGAGTTCTTGAGTGGCAGAAGGAATGCCTGAGGCCAAGACAGATCATCTCAACGGACAAGAGTAGAAGGGTCACTGGCTTTGGAGTCAGATAGGCCTGAGTGTCCTCTGGCTTTGGCTCTGCCAATTTCTGCCCAAAGTTGTTAAGCAGTTGACCCCCCAGTTGCCAGTTCTTGAACTCATGCTAGTCCATGACCATGTTCTCACCTGTCCTTTGCAAAATGAAGAAAATAGGAATGGTGTTGCAAGTTGTGCATAAAATTAAATTTATTTCACTTAAAGTTTCCTTTCAGGAGAATAAATTACATCCCTCATTCGTGGGTATTAAAATGTCTTTTCTTCTATGAAATGAGAGGAATACATATAGCATTTCCTCCCTAATGTCCATAACTTTGGGGGCAAAAAAGAGCAATTCTACAGCAAAATACAAATTTTACATTTTAGAAGTGAAAGCAGCTTGAGTTCTCGGAACCAATTTCTTCATATCTAAAGTTGGAATAAACCCTCTTTCATAGAGCCAGTAGTAGAAGGATTCAGTGATCTAAAAGAGACTTTTTCTGGAGGCACCTGGCTGGTTCAGTCAGTTAAGCCTCCCAACTCTTGATCTCAGGGTTGTGAGTTCAAGCTCCACATTGGGCTGCACCCTGGGCGTGGAGCCTACTCAAAAAAAAAGGGGGGGGGTTTCTGTAAAGGGTCATATAGTAAATATTTTCTGCTTTGTGGGCCAGCTTCCTTCCGTCACTGCGAAAGCAGCCATAGACAATATGTAAAGATACCGGCCTGGTGGAATTTCTCCAGGCAGCAGGCCAAATGTGGCCCCAGGCTCTAGTTTGCTAACCCCCGATGTATACAGTTGCAAGCATGTTGCCTCTACACGGCAGGCAACACTATCCCCAGTTCCGTGGCTTCTAGCAGTTGCACGGTCTCTACGAGGAACACGGTGGTATCTTTTGAATCCTGCTTCTGTTAACAGTTGTGCAAATTACCTCCCTTTAAGCCTCTACTTCATCACTCTGTAAGTGGGGAAATGTAGTAACTATCTCATAAGGGTGATGTGAAGATGATACTAAGTAATCCGCATGAAATTTTAGCCTAGTCCTTGGTGCATGGTAAATGCTCAGTGAATGTTCATTGCTATTATTTATCGTGTAATGCTAGAAACTGTCGTCATTACAATGGGAGTTCTGTGAGCAAATCAATGGGAATATATCTTGGTGTCCTTCAGCGCAGACTGGGCACCAGTTATTAGTCTGGATGGCACTAATTGTCTAGGATATGATTTGATTTGAATGATATCTGATGTTATCCCCAGTTCCTACTTCACCAAAAGCTTGTACATGGAGTTTTCATTTGAAATGTAATCAGTAGTTACAGGGACAAGAGAATTCATGTCCCTACAACTATGCAAAGGCAGTTATTTGCCCGATGAGCCTCAGAATTAGGTCACCTTGACTTGACCCAAAACTGGTGGCACTTACTCCCCATAAGCCAGTGACGGTACCATGGAATGTGGGGGTGATTAACAGAGAAATGAAGTCTGAAAAATGTTTGACATTGTGTTCATTTTTTAAGAATAGGTATTATAGTACTGAAGTTCCAAAAACAGAATGAAAACCATAGCTCCCGACAAAGCCATCCCCACTGGGATGCACCAAGGCAGCCCTCCTGTGGAAGGCTTTCTGACCCGCCTCCGTTACCTTGAACTTGGTCTCCTGTGCCGACCTCTGTGCAGGCGATGGAGGATTTCTCAGGGGTCGTGGCCTTTCCTTCTGTCTAGCCTCCGCCCCACAGGACTCCTGGAGTTCTAATCACACAGCTCGGACTTTCAAAGGGGCATGTTATTTTATTTCTGTTTGAGGAAACGTTGGGACACAATGTAAAGAAGTTAGCTATGGTTGTATTGTCTCATACTCGCCCCCTTCTGTTTGACTCCCAAGTATTCCTTGATCTCTTCTAGGTCCTTATTTTTCTTGTTTTTGTTTTTTTGTCATTTCCTCCCTAATGCAATCCTGGGGTCATGTTTTAGGGCTGCCGAAACAAAGTACCACAAAATAACACGAGCTTATTGTCTCACGGTTCTCGAAGCTTGGTAGTCTGAATCTGTCGTTGGCAGGGCCGGGCTCCCTCTGGAGCCAGTAGGGGCAGAATGCTTTGCCTCTTCCAGGCTTCTGGTAGCCCCAGGTGATTGTTGGCTGGGGACTGCATCACTGTAATTTCTGTCTGTCTTCACGTGGCATCCTCCTTGCTGTCTCTCCTCTTCTTACTGGGACACCAGTCCTATCGGATTAAGGACCCACCCAATTCCAATATGACCTCATCTTAATTTAAATAATTCCATCTGCAACAACCTTAATTCCGAATCAGATCACATTCTGAGGGAACTGGGGTTAGGACTTCAACATAAATCTGGACATTGTGGGTGGCGGGAGTGGGGGGAGGGGCACACACCTAATTCAACCCATAACACACCATCTTTCAGTTTTAGGTTAACAGCCATTCATTAAGCACCGACAAGGTAACGCATCATGGGAGTAGGTTGCCTTGAGTAATAACCCCTGCCTTTTGGGGAGTCACAATCTTGTGGGAAATAGCTAGACATTCCAGTGGCAGTGACCAGCAAGGCATGGGGTTTTCTGGAGGCAAGATGGGACAGGCCATCATTCAGCCCAGAGGGCAGGCTTGTACCAGACCTGCCCACGGAGCTGGATGAGCTCGGAATGGGGCTGGCAGCAGAAATTCATACCAGCAGGCAGAATGAATGGCCCTGGGCACTCCAGCCAGACAAGCAATTGCAATGTGACAAGAAGGGCCCTGGTCTCTGGACTGGGGCCCTGAGCTTCAGGGACAGGGCTGTAATCCTCAGGGAGGTGTCCAGGTAAGAACCGGACACAGCCATCTTTCACACGTGACTTGATCATAGATTCAGGAGTGATAAAGTTGCCAGCTTTAGCAAGTCAAAATACCGAATGTCCTGTTAAACTTGAATTTTCAGATTGATAGCAGATAGTTTTTAGTATTGCCCAAATATTGCATAGAATATACTTCTCCTGAAAGATTACTCATCTTCTAGGTTTTTGCTTTTTTTTTTTTTTTTCTGGCAACGCTAGGGGAGGAGGGGTAGCAAGGGGGCAGAACTGGTCTGAGAGACCAGATAGAGACCAACTATCTGGGTATAAGAACAGGGGCACATTGCTGGGCCAAAGGGAAAGGAAGAGAGGGAGTTGTATAACCCAGGAACTTGTCCTGACGTGAACCATGTCAACACTGAGGTGAATCAAATGACCTGTCAGAACAACGTAAGTACTTCCGGCCTCAGATTTGGCTCAGAAAGTGAAGTGGATTGAAGAGGGTGGAGTTGGGGAAGATTCGGTGCAAGCAGATGAATTCATAACTGTCAGTATTTCCAGGAAAATCTGTGCCAAGTGCTATGGTTGAAGCCCAGAGCGTTGTAGAAAGGAGAGAGAAATTCTCCCTGGAGCAAATAGGGAAGATTTCCTGGAGAAGGTGGAATCTGAGCGGGACCTTAGGGATAGTAGAGCCTAGAGACACCTGCTCTGTCTTAGTTTGGGCTGTATGATAAAACACCACGCACAGGGTTGGCTTGAACAACAGACATTTACTTCTCACAGCTCTGGAGGCGGGGAAGTCCAAGATCAAGGATATCCTCTGATTCAGTTCCTGGAGAAAGCCTTCCTCCTGCTGTGTCCTTACAGAACTAGGAGAAACAGAAAGCAAACCATCTGATTGCTTCTGATGAGGGCATTCATCCCATCCTGAGGGCCCCACCTCATGCCCGCTTCTAAACCGAATTACCTCCCCAAGGCCCCACCTCCCATTACCATCACATTGCGGGGTCGGGGCTTCAACGTCTCAATATGGGGCAGGGGACACAGTCCAGTCCAGAGCATGCTCTCCCCAGGCCCAGTGGGCCAGTGCTGTTGCTGGATCCCAGACACTGGGAGGCCAGGTCCTGGTGGTTTTGAATGTCAAGCAAGGTCTGTATTTCATTCTCCACAGGGAAGCAACATTTTTCCCGGCTAGTTCACTTTGATTTTCCATCCTAAACATAGCACAGTTTTTCTTTCCGCCTTCCCAGTGCC